CATGCTTCATGACATCTCGGTGAAAATGTGCTTTAGCCCACTGCTTGGCGATTTTTTGAAAATCGCTAGTAAACGTTGTATAAACAAAGTTGCGAAGGCGGAGCTATGTGACGTTCATAAATGGGTGGGACTAAGATTGTGACGTCACAATGTATTCTCTACAGATGTAGAAAATAAGTATACTAATTTTTTTTTTATTTCAAACCACTATAATATGGTAAGTGAATTGTAACAGCTATTAAAACTGTAAACAACGTCGCAGTCTCTCATACAGGGTGAATATTTTAAGCTTTAGTATTTATACAAATAAAAACAGATTTTTTTTAAATTTTAATTTCATATTGCGGAACATTTTAACTTTATCATCTTTACAAAATTACCTTATTGCTACGGTGAACGACAGCATCTCCTTACCTACTCCAGTAAGTAGACAATCTTCATTATTTTCTAAAAATTTTTAAGCTTTATATTAATAAAAAAAAGGGAAAATATTTATATTGAAATATCAACATCATAGACAGCTTTCATTTCCATGTTTCTTAAATTCCTAATCCACGTTCTATACTTTTGTATTAGAATTCTACACATTAATAAATTTAAAAAATCTAATTTCTCACAATGAAAGAAAATAAGAAATATTAAAAATAAGCAATTTTAAAAAGAAAAAATATTTTCACTTACCCTTTTCAGGAAAATAAAAAGTCTTTTTGACAATGACGGCACGTTTCCCTTGCATTTCCAATAAAGTAATAAATTTACATGTACATTCACTCACCTCTCTCAGCATCACAGATAAATCCATAGCGATTGTTTATTTAACGAAATATATGCAGAAAAATGGCAAAAAAAACACACAGATAAAAACCACTCGATTGATAACTACCACATAAGAACATTCAAACGGCAAATGAATTAACTGCTCAAATTACGAAGTAAAAATTCCAAAAGAAATCGTCTGCTTGGAAATTCTTTTTAACTGCAAGTATAGTTTTGAAAGCGTAAATTATCGTCTGCTAATTGACAATTTGTCTTCGGACATTTGTGCTCTCTCCGAAGAAATTTATTCGTATCTAGTTATTAAAAAGCGCTGTGAAAGCCATGGCTTTTCGATATCTAAAGCTACGATAAGTAATATTGTCAACGATAGGAAATTAAAAAAAAAGACAACAAATATAATGAAATTAAAAAACAAAATAAAATCTGAAATTTAAGATTTTACATTACGCCCCAAAGGTGCATTTTTTTAACACATTGCATGTTACCATTATTAATTAAATATCATGTTCTTCGCACTTAACCCTCTGAGCGGCCAGGGTATGCGCTAACAAAGCACAAATTTCCCACAACTACTATGAGAACAAATTGTTTTTCTCATTTTAATGTAAAAACTCTCCTGGTATTTCATACGTGGATTTTTTTTCTTTTGACATATTGCCTTAATTTCTTTGACATATTTTAATATGCACGTATATATATGTTCTTACAGATATCACAAAAAATATTCTAGGCCTTAAATATACGGCCTTGCCGCTTAGAGGGTTAAACCGCAAAATTCAGTTCAACAGCAATATCACAAAATAATTTTAAAATAAGCATATCTTTAGATTTTCCGATACACAGTCTCGCGCGCTGGAGATAAAAATGTTTTTATGTGTAGAGCATTCTCATTGCTTGCTTTGAAATTCCTCAGTATGTTAATCAAAAATTCGTTAAAGTTTTACAAAATATGAAAACGATAATAAAACAAATTCCAAATTTCAAATTTGGGCTTCCAGATGCCCATATTCGCAGGAGGATGACGTTATTCTAAATTTGATGTTTCTTGGTACCGTTGTTTTATCAAAATGAGGGAAACATACATATATTTATGAAGATTTTTAATCGTTTAATTCCTTTAAATATAATACAGGGCGATAATATTTGTTGGACACAATTTGAAACATTGGCTACATTGGCTTTTCCCATGTACACATCGGTCTATTTTCACTTAAAAAAAATCCCAGAATTGCACAAATTCGGCATCGCGCACAACCTCGGCATTGCGCACCACATTGGCTTTGCCCATGTGCACATCGATTTATTTTCACTTAAAAAACATCCCAGAATTGCACAAACTCGGCATCGCGCACCACATTGGCTTTGCCCATGTGCACATCGATCTATTTTCACTTAAAAAAAAATTCTAGAATTGCAAAAACTCGGCATCGCGCACAACCTCGGCATTGCGTACCACATTGGCTTTGCCCATGTGCACAGCGATCTATTTTCACTTAAAAAACATCCCAGAATTGCACAAACTCTGCATCACGCACCACATTGGCTTTGCCCATGTGCACATCGATCTATTTTCACTTAAAAAAACATCCCAGAATTCCACAAACTCGGCATTGCGCACCACATTGGCTTTGCCCATGTGCATATCGATCTATTTTCACTTAAAAAAAATCCCAGAATTGCACAAACTCGGCATCGCGCACAACCCCGGCATTGCGCACCACATTGGCTTTGCCCATGTGCACATCGATCTATTTTCACTTAAAAAAACATCCCAGAATTCCACAAACTCGGCATCGCGCACAATCTCGACATTGCGCACCACATTGGCTTTGCCCATGTGCACATCGATCTATTTTCACTTAAAAAAAACATCCCAGAATTCCACAAACTCGGCATCGCGCACTATGTCGGCATTACGCACTGCATTGGCTTTGCCCATGTACATATCGATCTATTTTCATTAAAAAAAACATCAGAGAATTGCACAACGTTCTAGGATTGAGCCAAAACGAAATACAAAATATTAAAATAAGCAACTTTAAAACGAACCATACAAGAAAAATTTTTTCACTTACCCTTTTCAAGAAAAATGTAAAGTCTTTTTGAGGGGTTTTATATATGAATTTATATCAGGGGAAAACCCTTTTGGATCCCCCCTCATCTTTAAATAAATTTACGAACGTTTATACGCCGTTTCCGTAATATATGCAGAAAAAAGCTAAAACCCACAGGGGGGAAAACACTCGATTAAAAAAAGAAACAACATAAGAACATTCAAATCGCAACAGAATTAACAAGTAAAGAATAAATAAATAAATAAATAAATAAATAAAATAAAAATAATGAAAGCTTTTAGATTTTACATTACGCCCAGAGGGCGTTTTTTTTAACGTTTTGTGTGTTACATTTCTTTATCATATAATGTTCTTTACACTTAAACCATAAAATTCAGTTCAACAGCAATGTCGCAAAATAATTTTAAAATGAGCATATCTTTAGAATTTCTGATACGCAATTCTGCGCTCTGCACTTAATTTTTTTTTTTTTTTTTTTTTTTTCCCGTACTGTGTTGCAGTTGCTCGCTTTGAAACTTTGATTTGCTAATAAAAATTTCGTTCAAATTTTACAAAATATCAATCAGATAATAAAAAAATTCCAAGTTTGGGCTTCCAGATGCCCATATTAGGTTGGAAACGTATGTTATTCAAAATTTGATGGCTCTAGGTACCGTTGTTTTATCACAATGCAAGAAACATTTATGCAGATTTTTCAATATTTAATTTCTTTAAATATAACACAGGGCGATAACATTTAGTGGCAACAGAATAACAACACAGCTTCAAAACATCGGGTTAGCCATGTTGGCGCATTTATTGCCCATTGAAAAACAATCGCCAAGCAGTGGGCTAAACCGTATTTTAACCGACATCTCTAATTTTTAACTGTTCAGATCAAAATCGATGAGATTTTTGATACTAGAGAATTGACAGGAAGAACATTTCAAAAATAAGGAAGTAGTACATGAAAAAGGATAAATAAAATAGGGCAAAACAATATCTGATTTTACTAAAACCATCTCTTAGATGACAAATGCAATTAATACAACGTTTCCCCCCCAAAAAACGACGAATTTAATACTCCCAATATATTATTTTATTTTCAGAAAATGGAAAATATTTTTACATACAGACAAATGTTCCGATTTAAGATTGCGAAATAACGTCTTGCTTATGTCTTCCACAAGTAACTCTGCAGCATCGCAATTTGTCGAGTCATTAGATTAATTGGAAGCAGAAAAGATGAAGAATATGCAACCGCCTTCGCTGGGAATCGAACCGCGGATTTCTGGAATACCGACTCAGCGTGCTACCGTTACACCACGAAGGCACGCTAGGAAAGTGGGAGAAATACCTTATTGTTCGCTTACGCGTCAAATTATTACGCTATCAGCGTATCAAGGACTCTAAAGAGACTACTATATTCTAAAAAATTCATTTATTTAATAAAACATCACTCAGGTATATAACATACAATTAATCTTCACTAAGCCTAACTAACTACAGAAACATGTTTTCCTAATTCCGCGAATTGCCTTATTGCCACTCTCATGAAACCAAACTAACAACAATTATTATTGGCCAAAAGATAAAAGTAATAAGTATTGTAAAATTATAAGTAAAAATTAAAGTAAAGTAAATACAAAATACAAACTACATTGTTTTGAAATCCAACATCCTCCCACCTTAAGTTGTTGGGAAACAACTTAACCTATTAGAAATATTAAAGAAAAACTTAAATGGAAAAACATAAAAGAACTGAATTAAAGTCCAAACATTTATAAAGTCTATAAGTCTAGTCTTTGGATAGGCTTCACTTCTCTTCCACTCCTGGTTTTTATAGATTTAATATCTTTTTGGCTGTTTTCCACTGAATACCCTTCAACCCTAGCTTGTTCAAATCTTTCATTTTTTAGATCTTCGAACCAATTACATGAAAGTTCTAAAGGAAAAATTCTTTGTACGGGACGTAAAAGTTGCCCATTTGTGGTTTTCAATCGTACCAATCTAATGACATTGTCTCTTCCAGGTAACAATTCTGTAACAACGGCTAATGGCCACTCAGTACATTTAACATTATCACTTCCAACAAGAACTACGTCTCCAAGTTTGATATTTTGCTCATGCTTCTTCGGATCATGTCTTTGAATCAAAAGTCCTAGGTATTCAGATCTGAATCTTTTTCGTATATCCGTGATTAGATTGTTGACGATATTTTAATCTCTTGTTGAGGGAATGCTGATCAATCTTCATCCAAATCAGGAATGAACGCCTGACTTTCGGAAATCTTGCAAAAAATGAGTTAGGAGATAAAGGAACAAGTTCAGACTCATTTTCTGAAACATAGGTAAGTGGACGAGAGCTAATAACAAATTCAGCATCACACAATACCGTTGTCATTTCTTCAAAAGACAGCAGAGATTTCCCTAAAACTCTTCTAAGAATTTGTTTCATCAAGCCAACTAATCGCTTCCAAAAACCGCTCCACGAAGAGGCAGTTGGGGGATTGAAAAACCATTGAATTTTCTTAGTGGTGGTGTATTGAGCAACGACATTCCAATCAACGAGTTTCAAACAATTTGATGCTCCAACAAAGTTGCTTCCGTTGTCACAATAAACTACAGAAGGACGGCCTCTGCGGGCTATAAACCGACGGAAACTCTGGAGAAAAGCCTCTGTAGACAGTGAGGAACTGAGTTCAAAATGCACAGCTCTATACACAGCACACGTATATAGGCAAATCCAAGCCTTTCCTTCTCCTTTTAAATACACATGTCCAGCCATATCAATTCCCATAATTTCAAAAATAGATGGATCTCTTACGCGATTTTCTGGTAATGCAGATATCGGTGCTGTTGAATTTCTCTTTGCATACCTTAAACAAGTAACACATTTGGATAAAAGAGATCTAATGACTTTTTTCGCGTTTAAAATCCAATAATGTTCTCTTAGAATATTCAACAATATTTGAGAACCAGCATGAGAGTTCTTCTGGTGTTCTGCTGTAATTAACCTTTTGACAGCCTGATGTTCTCCCGGTAAAATAAAAGGATGTTTAAAGTTTTCTGTATCCTTCCGAAAGGTAATTTTTGTTCGCAGTCTAATAATTCCTTCTTCGTCCCCTATATGTTGCCAAAGATTCTAATTTTCTTTTGTTTAAATGATCAGAAAAGTATTCGTTTTGTATTAATAATATGACTTTCTTTTCTGCATTTTTGACTTCTTCGTAGGATAACTCTCCAATAATTCGCGAAGACTTTGCATTTAGACAATTAAAGATAAATCTTTTTATCCAAGCAATCAACCGTATCACTTTGTCATAGCTTGAAAATTAATAATAGTACCAACTTGATCCGTAATGTCTGCATCCATTTTTCTTTTCATAAGTTTTGCAGCTACAAGTATTTGAGTAACTTAGGGAACAGATAGAAGAATGCCCATCAGATTTTGTTTTTCTCTTTTCCTTAGCTATAGAATGTTCATCCGAAAATTTTGTTCTGTGATGGGCCAGTTAGAAGAAGGTTCTAATAACCAAGTAGAACCCTCCCACCATTTGCTTGATAACAGTTGTCTAGCCGAACATCCTCGAGAAGGAAAATCAGCTGGATTCTGGATCCCAGGAAGATGTTTCCATGCAAGAGGATCCGTTAAACTATTTATCTCATTCACTCTGTTCTTCACAAATACCGTCCAGGTTTCCTTACGTTCAATCCACCCTAAAACAACCGTTGAGTCAGTCCAATAATGCTATTCAACATGTTTTCATTGAAGGCCTTCCACAACAGATGCACACAAACGAGCTCACACCATAGCAGCCATCAGCTCCAATCGAGGGATAGTCATGGGTTTTACAGAAGCCTCTCTAGCTTTGGCTGCTAAGAGATGAACTTGGACATTCTCCGATGTCTCCACACGAATGTAAACAGCTGCTGCGAAGGCCGAATGACTAGCATCACAAAATGTATGCAGAGAAATGTTTTGTCTACTTGGATCAATTGAAAAACCACCGTGATATGGTCACTTCCTTCAGCAAATGAACTTCTCTGAAAACTTCCAGCCCATAAATTCTTCTTTTATATTAGCGTTGACTTCAGAGTCCCAAGGTATGTTTTCTTTCCACATCTTTTGCAGTATAACAATTTGGGTATCAGCAAAACAGGACATAATAAACCAACTGGATCGAACACCTTATGAGTGACAGAAAGAATTATTCTTTTGGTCAAAGTTTCGAATTTATAGGTGTCTAACCAGTCCAGATTTATCATCCCATAAAAGTCCTAATACAGAAGTAAATGGTTCAGGACCATTATCATTAGTGTACTGCCAGCCTCTCAAATTGAATTTTCCCTCACTCAGTATGGCTTGAGACGTTTCAATGAAGGGTAATATATCACATGTATCATTTAAGCTCGTTACTAAATTATCAACATAGAAACTCGAAATAAGAATCTTAACATAATCTTGATTATATCTGGCATCATTCAAAGATTTTCCCAAATGATAATCTAAAACTGCTCCCAAAAGAAAAGGGCTGCTCTTTACACCAAAGACCAATCTGTTGTGTTGCATTACCTTAATTTCTTTACAGTCGCTATCATTCCACCAGAAGAATCTCAAATAGTTTCGTTCTTCCAACCGAACGCTCACTTGCAAAAAGGCCTTTTCAATATCTGCAATAACACCATATTTAAATTCTCTAAATCTCAGAAGGAGACTTGGAATTAGTTCTAATAAATTGGGACCGGATTCTAGACACTGGTTCAAAGATGAAGAGATCCAATTTGCCTAGCAGACGCATCGAACACTGGACGTACTTTGGTAGTACCATGTTCCTTGACTACAGGTCGGTGAGGAAGAAAGTGCTGGTGTGGAATCATGCACATCTGTGACATCATATATTATTCTCAATTCAGTCCATTGCTTAAAGACATCATCATAGGTATCAAATAATTTTTCTGAATTCAGCTTTTTTGTTGAGACTTGAAGTCTTCTTATCGCTATATCTTTGTTGGTTGGGAGAGGCAAATGATCGTCTTTCCACGGTAAGGCAACTTCGTACCGCCCATCATCATTGATTCGTAGAGTCTCTTGAAAATATTTCTTCGTAAGAAATTCCTTTTCCTTTCGTGATTTTACTTCGACTGGATCAGATATTCCTAAGATGTCTAAGGAAAAAAGGTCAGAAATATTGGCATCTTTCACAAACATTGTTACAATCGTCATCGCCGTATCTTCCCTTTCAGCATTCACTGATGTTTTACCAATCAATGTTTACCAGGTATACCAGGTAAGTTTCTTGGCTACAATACCACTAGAAAATACTATTTTTCTGTCGGTGAAAAGTCGACCAGCCACATCTGCACCAATTAAAAGATCAATAGGCCCTGATGAATCTTCAGTGTCATAAAAAGGCCTTTTATAAAAGGTATATTCATGGACCTGAGCTCTTTAATACCATGGCCCATTTAAGGCAGAAGGTACAGCATCACAAATTGTATCTTGCTCATAAATATCAAAAGTACAAGTAAAATTATCGTCTAAACTCTTTAGCTTAATTTTGTAGACATTATGCACATTTTCAGGTGTTCGTTCTCCTCCAAAAAGGGCGTGGCTTAAAATCTGTTGTCTAGAAGGTATCAGGCCTAGAGAAGAAATTAAATCCTTCCTTAAATACGATTTTTGAGATCCTGTGTCATATAAAGCTCGAACACAAAGTGTACAATTATTTCCAATTATTTTTACTTTCAGGGTTTGCAAAAGTACTTGTGGTGTGTTGCTAACGCTAGAAAGATTTACAGAACTTTCTTCCTTGCTAGTTTCTTTTTCATTGCTGTTTAACATAGGCTTCTTAATATTTGTTTTATTTTTAAGCAACTCTAAACACAAAATTGCGCTGTGTGATTTTTATGGCAAATTGCACATTTAATAGAACTCCCGCATTTATTTGCACAATGACCTGCCTTTAAACAGCGAAAGCAGTGCCCTTTATCTTTTAAAAGTTTTTGCCTCTCTGAAAATGGCATTTTTTAGCCTTAAAACAATTAAATGAATCATGTTTTCCGCTGCAAAACACGCACTTCTTAGCGGGAGAATCAGTACTCAACAAACTTGCTGCCGTTGATGGTCGATCGTGAACAGTTTTTAATAGATTTAATCCCACAGGTCACTTCGTTCTTCAAACCAAAACCAGCCATAGCTAAACTTATGCGTTCTTCGGATTCTACTTCTGATTTCAAAAATTTTAATAAACTGTCCAGTCTACATTTTGGGTCTGGACCATGGTCAACATTTGCACTTCTTTGATAGGCTCTTAAAAAATCCTCAGGCAAGCAAGATTCAACTAAAGGATAAAGTAATGCAGCACTTTTATCTGTAGTGACGCCAAGGGTTTCCAGAGCCCGAATTTGTC